AAAAATTAAATTGAGTTATGTGCCAAAATGCACCAATGATCAAATTTTTTGGGAAAGAGTCTGGGCCCTTCCCCCATACCCCTCATTTCGCTCAGGGGCAACTGGCGCCCTCAACTTCTTCCAAGCTTGCCGAAAAAAAAGTCATTATAGTTGGCCCTGGTCGCCAATTAATGAAGTGCCGCAATAGGCAAGTGAAGAATTTGTGCAGTACTCCGAGCTACGAATCAAACTCTTCAGAGCCCCGAAAATGCTGACTATCAATATCAATTAAAAAAGTGACACAGGTTGGGCAAGCCCCCTCCCTCATTCCTACTCCACTGGTACAACCCACCCGACATCTGAAATGCCCCCCTCCCCGGAGGACAGTATCTGAAACTAATACTTATTCTACCCCATTTTGATGTCTTACTTTAAAATAAAACTCAACAGCTAGTGAAATAAAAAGCTAAAATTTATTTTTTACAGTTGATTCTGGTACGATTGGAGACTGCTGTTCAACCAATGATACTTGCAGAGAAACTAAAAAAAAAAATTGTGTAGTCCAGTGAGGCTTGATTCTGGAAAACGGTTTACCTGAAAAACGCTCCCTTTACAGAATATATTTTTTATCATCAAGACTACATTTTTCTTACGAAGTTCACATGAAAAGGCTGGTCCAGTGCCAAACCAAGAACGATGTCCAAGTTACTTTTCACTTTATCACTAATTAGCATATGTCAGTTAACATCTGCTCAGATGTTCCAGAGCCCGACTACCATTCCTGAAAATGTTGCAAATGATGTGCCTCTCTTTGATCTGACCATTGCGGCTCCAAACAGTACATACGTTATTATGGATAACGCTGCTAAAACACCAGGAATGTTCGACATTTCCAATGGAAAATTAATTTTAAATAACGCTCTCTCAACAAAGATAAGAAAACTTTTTGACTATGAAAAGTTTAAAACATTTAACGTCAATGTAACTGCTACAAGCACAAGTAACAGAACAGGTTAGTTGAATTTTATTGCTTCACATTTCCTGCTATGAAACCTACAATATTGAGCTCAAGTACTTTTGATAAATCTCACTTCCGATATTGTCATTTAAACCTAAACGTTTAAGCAGTTTGAAAATTGTCTTGTGTTTTATTTTTGAAATTGAATATTGTTTGTTGATTTTAAGGTCATCTTTACATTTTGCTGAAAAATTAGTCGAAATTAAATTATGATTTCTCCCAACAGATGTTCGGTATCTAACCATTCAGTTGAGACTATCAGATGTTGATGATGAACCACCATCCTTTACCAACCAACCTTTACCTTTCTTGGCCTCAGTTTTAGGAAATGCTTCCCTTGGGACTTTGGTTTACACAATAACTACTAATGACCCAGATTCAACTTCACAGCCAACAGTTACAATAACTAATCGTTAGTGAATTATTTTTTTTAACTAACAAAACTCAAATCTACAGCATTTTTTTAATATTGAAATTTATGTGTATTTACTTTTGTTTTAGTTATATTTCTTTTTCTGGAACTTAATAAACATTTCATTTTTAAATATTCAATGCTTTCAGAAATACCTTCCAATAGGTTTGCAATACAACCTGGTGGTGCCAACCAGTTCAGCATTGTTACAACTGGCGACACATCTTTTCCAGGAAGCACTGAGTTTACTATTACGGTTGTCAAGGTTTTGGTTGGTCTTCGTCCACCTCAATTTTTTTCATCTCCTTACACTGGTCAAATTTATGAAAATATTTTTGATACTGATCGTAACTGGTAAGCTTGATAGAAATATTTTTAATGTTTATAGGTACATTTGCCAAAGTTAAGAATTTCTAATTGACAAAATTGTTTATCTGTCAATAGCTATTCAAGACAAAATATTATAGTCTATAGTTAATATCAAATTATTTATAAATAAATATAATCTTGTAAATCTGTTCCAGGTTACTTACAAAAGACAATCAGCAACTTGAGATTAAAGCACGATTGTTCCAGAGAGATGCCCAGATCCAGATTCAATTGGGGGATCAAAGTTCAAGCAGTCAATTTTCTCAATATTTTGCTACCGTTCCTCAGACTTCTTCTGATCCTTTCACTCAGTCAGTTAAGCTCAGAAGTTCAAAGGTAAAATTTGATTTAGGGGAACATTTGAAAAAATTTTCCACATGGCAAAAAAATTTATGATGAAATGATATTTTGAAAATTAATGATTTTGCTGATATAGGGCCTATTCATAGTAGTAGGATAAAAAAATTAACAATAGTCTAGATGGTAGAACAGTTATTTGTGTATGTAACAAGCTATGTTTAATTTTTTAGATATTTGTTATAGTTTGGCTCATTCAATACTTTACAAATAATTTTTTTTTGTATAGAACAAGTCTTGAAAATGTATTGGAGACTAATCAATTTAATCAATGCTTATTATTTCTGTATGAGAATGAATAAAACTTTGTTGTTTTTTAAAGCTTAATAACGTATGTTACTGCCTTATAGGTTATTGATTATGAGCAACTCAAGTCTATGACATTTGTTGTCAGTGCTCAAGATACAACCAACAGACTCACCAGTAGTGTTACTGTAAGAATATTTACACCTTCATCACTTAAAATAGTGTCAAGTTGTAGAGAGATTTTATTTTATATAGGGTTCTTTATTTTTTTAAAAATTCTGACTTGTAATGTCTTGATAACTCTGCTTGAGTTTTTAATAACAATGTAGAAGATAATATAATCTGTATGGTTTATTCCAGGTAAATATTGAGGTCGTTGATGAGAATGACAATGCACCAACATTTTCAGCTCCACTATACAGCACAGAACAGAAGTAAGAGAAGATTTGTCAGTCGGGAGTACAGTTCTCTCAGGTAAAGCAATAAGAAAATTTTAAAAAAAATTACAATTTATTTTTGACTCTGTAAATTGCATTTTTTTTAAATATATATCTGAGGGCCCACGATCAATTTATTGATCATTCTGGTTCCTGGTTTGAATTTTGAGGTTTTCCTTCATTTAGATGAGTTGCTGGCCAAGGCTAACAAGGTATATGCACAAAGATTGCCAATTTTAAAAACTTGTAAATAAAAAAATGTTCATATTTAAGGAAAAAAGTTTCCTAATGTTACAAAAGTAGTATTTTGATACTATGTTGGATTAACTATGGGACCGGTATGTGAATTTAGTTGAATTTTTGCTTTCTTAAAACTACTAAGTTGAGCTAAATATTCTGATTTTATTTGTTCTTGTTAAAAACATGTATCTTTCAGTTCAAGCCAATGACAGAGACAGTGGCAGCAATGGAGAGTTGACATTTTCTATATTAAATAGTACTTATTTCAATGTAACAACTGTCAAAGTACCTGGTAGTGATAACAACTATAATGGCATAATCACAGTGAGAAGGTAATAATTACTATATTTTCAATAAATATAAGTTCTTCCATGTTTAATTTGTCTAAACTTAATGGTTTGCTAGCTTCCTGACTATATTACGAAAACTGAACTTCAAAAAAACAATATTTACACATGCATAATTTTTATGTAATATAACATATTTTTTTAGCTGAAATGAGAAAGTTCAGAAGATAATTGAATAATTTATATGTTTTATCTTTAAGATATGATGAAAAAAATAATTTCAGTCTTACCAAGATCTTTCCCTATGGCAAATTTTAATTTCTTTTTTAAATCACAATGAGCTCTGGGAGAAGGGGTGCAACCCCATCATTTAAGATTAGTCTGAAATGGGAAATCCCCAGAAAATAAACAAGACATGTAATATCATAAAGAATATAATTTTTTATATTGTATAAACTCAAAAAACAGGAATTTACATATGAATCATTAGAATAGAATTAAAAAAACAGAAAAGTCATTTTAAAACAAAAAGATAAATAGACAGACATGAAACTCTTTTATTTCTTCTAGTGCAACCCCTGCATGTTATTGCTTTTGGCCCTTAGAATATAAATAATTTTAAAGTATCCTTTCAAAACTTTGAGAACGCTTGCTTTAGGGTTACTTAGAATAATATAAAGGCATTTTTACAAGTGTTATGTTTTCTCAGTCCGCTTGATTATGATAAGCCACCAGGTCCCACCTATAATTTTACACTTTTGGTGACTGACAAAGGCACTGCTCCTAGATCAGCTTCAGTTTCAGTTATTGTGTCAGTCACAAATGTAAATGACAACAATCCTATAATTGATAACCGGTAAGTTTATTGTCACTGTTATCTGTTTAAAAGCTGTCACAAATTTATTGTCACAGATGTTAAATTATTACTATTATATTAGACTAAATTGATGTTACAATTTTACTATCTCAGTTAATAATATTATAAGGTTTTTCCATGGAAGAGTTTTTAAAAAAAAATTTTTAAATAAAAAGTTTATCCATGTATTTTTAATAATTATTTTAAAATTTGTTTGACATGGGTTTTAAGATGTCCTATTTGTCTTGGAATGTTTGAAAATTATTAGCAAATATTAATTTTAGCCCTTTAGTAATTTGGCTCTTCTTACCCTTAAATTAATATAACATTTCATTATTTACTTATAACAATGCTGTGTATATTTTTTACTTGTAGTACAAGCTTGTTGAGTCTCACAGAGACAGCCCAAAATAACTTTGCGGTGACTATAATACAGGCCTCTGACGTTGATGGAGACAGTATTCTGTTCTATTTTGCAAGTAAGAAATACATTTATACCAAATTTTTCTTTAAAATTATTACATAGTTTTTATTTATTTTTTTCTTCCTAATTAGAAGAACTAAATAAAAAATTGACAGCCATAATGAAATAAATAAATTTCATGACAATTTAAATTGTGTTTAAAAAAATTTAACTTTAAAAAATAGTGGGGCATAAATAGGTTCATACAAATTAACATATTTTTCTAAACTAAATTTCTTTGCAGACAATCAAGGATCTCAGGTCCCCACCATTGACATATTTAAAATTGATGCCCAGTCTGGTGTGATTCAGTTGACAAGCACAATTCCTAAAGATAGAGACTCATACTCTCTAAAAGTGCTTGCTGTGGATGATGACCGATGTTGCAAGGATAAAACGGGATCAAGAACTTCATCTGCAGTTTTTACAGTAAACATCATTGACATTAATGCCAATAAACCGAGTTTTACTAATTGCGCTCTGTATGACAATACTGCAAGTGTTAAAGAAAAGTCTCCAATTGGAACTCAAGTTATTCAGGCAAGAATTAATTACTTTCATGTAGTTGTATTTTAATTTTTGTATTTTAATATCAAATTTGAATACGCTGAGATAAAAATTTAATGTCACTTATTTTAACAGATATAAAACAAGAAAAAATATATTCTCTTTAGGTGGTAGCTACTGACCCAGACAGAGGAGAAAACGGTCGTGTTGTCTATGAAATACAAAATCCTTCACCTAGTCAACCCAATGCCCCATTCAAAATTGATCAAAATAACGGGAGCATCACTGTGCAAAAAATACTAACTAGAGGAACAGATAGTTTCATACAGGTAAAGTTTTGACAATTGATAGGTAAAGAAACCTTGGGCTACATATAATAAAGTAATTTTAATCCAAAAGTAGTTTAATAGCAATCTTTTTTGTAAATAATGAAAATATCTTTCTTTAAATATATATATATGTATATATAATAAATTGTGTATATTTATTTTCAACTCTAACATGGTACACACAGTAAAATGAATTTTAAATTTTCATAATTAAATTTAATCTTGATCAAAATCATGGGATATATTATACATTCAAGACTTGTTGGAGTTTCCATCAATTAATTGCCCTTTATATTGCATACTTTGTAACTAACTTTCAATGTGCAGATATCTGGCTTGTAACTTTTTAAAATAATTTTTTGGAGTTATATAATTTTAAAACATAATTATATTAATATAATGTAGTAAGTAAAATTTATTCCATTTTCTTTTGAATTATATTCTCAGTTCAAAACCTATGTAGTATAACCATTTTAATTCAAATTTTTTTTTTTAAAAGTCATATTTTACATTGCAGGTGACAGTTATAGGTCGTAACCCCACAATTACACAAATGGAAGGCTGGTGTACATTTTGTGTCACAATAGTTGATATCAATGACCACCCACCAACCTTCACACAGCCTTCGTACAGCATAGAGATTGCTATAAGCACACCCCGCTACAGTGTAAGCTTGTTTTTAAAGTTACTCTGTATTGCTGTATGACTATTAAATAATTATTTTAACAGGGCGGAAGAAGGCTTCTCCAAACATGTATGTTGCTTTGGTATGTATTTTGTCAGGTTTTCCTAACTTTGAGCTAATTATTTCCCTTTTTACCTAACCACTCTGCAGTAATCTCTCCCCCCACCACTAATAACATCACTTTGGAGATGGTGTCGGTGGGTTGTCGAGTTTGCACTCATTAATACCCCCCCCCCAACACACCTCCACAGGGGCCAGAGCCGGGTCTCCCCGACTCCAGGCCATGTAGAAGCACACCAGGAACCTTGGTTTTCCTAACTTTGAGCTCATTCTTTCCCTTTTTACCTAACCCCCCCGCAGTAATCTCTCCCCCCACCACTACTAACATCACTTTGGAGATGGTGTCGGTGGGTTGTCGAGTTTGCACTCATTAATACCCCCCCCCCCAACACACCTCCACAGGGGCCAGAGCCGGGTCTCCCCGACTCCAGGCCATGTAGAAGCACACCAGGAACCTCCCTCCTGGCCTAAGGGACGTCCGGGCAACCGAAGATGCTGCGTTTAAAGCGTCCGCAGTCCACTCTCCTATGGGTGAGGACGGCTTTTCTTCCTCTCCGGGGAGGTGGTGTTGCGTTACCACTCCCCACCGCCCCCCACCACTAAACAATTTAATCTCTTACTTAGCAATAGCCACTATAGAAAACATTGATGATTAGATTTTCTTTTCTCAACATTTAGACAATCCGTCAGATGGTTGCAAAAGATGATGATGTTGGAGTAAATGCTGAGATCACCTACATGTTTGGTACAAAGGATTCATCGATAACCAGCTTGTTTTCTATTGATGCCAACACTGGTGTGATTAAACTTATTGGTGATCTCACATCAACAGGCCAAGTAAATTTTTCTGATTAAATTTTAAAACTTTTTTCATCTCACATTTGTAGTTAATGATTTAGTATTTTTTATTGTTTATTGATTATATTTTGTGGATATTAATTTTACTTTTATTCCTGTTATGCTATTAGTTGTTTTTTATTTAAATAAATTACATTAAAGACAAAATGATTATTATACAGTTATAGTAATAGCTATTAGTATAAGATAAAACTAACATACATTTATTTGTTGATTATCCTAGACTGCTAATTATACATTGATAGTGATTGCTACTGATCATGGTACTGACCCAGGGCCCCTGTCAGGAAACACCACTGTTGTTATAGTTGTCAAACTTAATGATAGGGCACCTCCAGTGTGAGTAAAAATGAATTTCCTATTAAACTTTGCAAATGAAAACCGACATGGAACATGTTGTATTAATACTCAAGTAGTATTTTATCATTTGACAAATTTGTTTGTAACTTTTGGAATAAAAATAATCTCACTTGAAAAGTTTATTAAAATAATTATTATTTGTTTCTTAAATATTTCACAATATTTGTATAAAAATTATAGTAAGTCTTATTTACAGAAGCAATAATTGAACCAAAAAGTAACAATTTCATATCATGGGCTTTTTTTTAAATCTTCCAGATGGTATAATACTCCAAGTCCTCTTGTATTCAGCATAAGTGAAAGTGCACCCTCAGGAACTATTCTGGCCACATTCGTCTGTAACTCAAATATACCTGATGCTCCTGAAGTTGAGTTTCTTGTTTTTGAACCAGCTATTTCAATCACACAAGATTCTCCAACTTTCAGTCCTGTTAAAGTAAATAGCAGTTCCATGAATCTGATGTTAAAATCTGCCACAGCTTTGGATTACATGACGAAAAAACAGTACCAATTGTCTGTTGTTTGCCAGGTATTATTTTCAAGTATATTATAGATTATTTTTTTCAAATAGTGTTGTGAAAAAATGGATTTATACCAAGCACTTTAGTTCTATTTCAAATGCTTTATTTTTTTTTTGTGAATTGTTAATTTGGTCAATTTTGTGATTCAGATCATCATTGCATTTTAATTTCAGTGTCCATGATTTACTTTAGTTGCATATAAAATATTTTTCTTTAATTTTAATGAACCATCATCAGTACATTACATGAAATCGGTTCATATAAAATAATTGAAGTCTACGACTATGAATAAAAGCCATGGATATAAAAGCACTGTGTTTATTAATATACTGAATTGTTTTCTCTAGACTACGTCAGGGCTGACTCTGCGCGCTGAAATCAATCCTGTCATTAATGTCATAGATGCCAATAACCAACCTCCAACATTTGAAGGTCTGTCCAGTACAAGTCGATATGTAGGAACTGTAGCTGAAAATTCCCCTTCTGGGGCAACAGTCCTCCAAATTTCAGCAAGTGACAAGGATGAAACCCCAGCTTTTAGAACTGTGAGTAGCAACAATAACCTAAAAATTGTGAGCAGCAATGACATAAAAAGAGTCTTGACATATGGTCAAATTCTATGAAAGAGATACAAATAAATATCTGAGCAGACAAAAACAAAACACTGACATTTTAAATATTTTTTAATTAATTTTTTTTTCTTCTTCCTATGAATTTTTCTCCTGTCTGGGGCATAGGCCATCCACAAGAATTTTCCATTCATCACGGTTCTGTGCTTTTCTTTTCTTTCCAGTTGTTTCCAGGTTTATCCCATATTTTGCTTGTCTGCCTTTAATCCTTTGAACTGAAAATAACTTTCGATCAAATTTCCGCTCAAAAAAACTTTCCTCAACCAATTTTCTGTTGACGATATTTCTTTCAAACTAATTTCCGGCAACCATTTTCTTTACTAGCACAAAAACAAAACAAAAAATAATTTTTTACTTTGGCTTTATTGTTTTATAAAACACTTTTGAACTGTTTCTTTCAATAAAGAATACTGTGATTGAATACATTTTTATAATTTATTATTCATGTAACAAAGTGTATTTTGAAAGATGTTGACACTAAATTTGAAGTGAGCATCGTGTAAGAAGGCATTAATTAAAATTATATATCATTTGGAAAGCATGATTAGTTTTATTATTGATAAGAAATATGTCCAGCTAAAAAATTATCAAAAATATTCATTATTTTTCAGGTTACATTTCAATTACTAGGTCCTAATAAAGATTTGTTTCAAATTATCCCTAATGGTGATAATAGAGCCACAATAGTTACATCAGGTTCTAACAGTCTTGATAGAGAGAAAAATGAGTTTTATACTGTTGAGATTGAAGCTCGAGATGGAGCCCCTGCTGCCTTTCCACCCAACTCAACTCAGCCAAATATAGGTAGGAGGATTTTGATTTTCAATTTATAAAGCATTGTTAGACCTCCCACCTAAAAAATCAAATTGATTACATATCCCAAAAAATGTTTTCTAAAACTAATAGCAAAAAAAAAATTGAATAGATGAAAATAAAAAAACTTGTTTAAATAAACTAGAGAAACAGAAAATGCCTGCTGCGTTTTGAATGCAATATTGCCAAAAATATTTCAATGTTCACAAATTAAATAATAATGGCAGCATTATACTCCTAGAAGCAAATTACTATTTTTTGTGTGAAACAGTCAAACATCCATTTTATTTGACCTATTCCTTAGTATCATCTTATTCACAACTATCCCTGCATACGTCTTGCTTCAAATAAAATAGTTTAATTTCTTGTACACATTATAAATGTAATAAAACTGATAACAATTTATATTAATTCCTTCACATACACAGAAACAATTTCATTTTATTGTGTTGCAATGATATACAGTAACAAACTGTTGTTTGATTTTTACTACAGATTTCACCATTTATTCTTTTTCCTAGCTAGAAACTCCAAAATAAGATTAAGTTTTACAATGTATTTTTTAGTAGTTCTATATATCCAAAAGATATTCTACTATTTAGATTACCTTTAGGTGCTAAAGATTTAATTGATTTTCTTGTTTTTTTTTGTGATTTCAGTAACAAGAAGACTTGATGTTCGTGTAACAGATGTTAATGATAATATACCGTCCTTTTACAATCAATCGTACACATTTGAAATAGATGAAGAAACACCTGTTGGTTTAGTTATAGCAAGTGTAACAGCTAATGACCCAGACTCAAGTAAGTTTTACATTTGTACAAAGACTTACTCTATAAGGTTTTCAATGAATTTTTTTTAAACCTCCATATGTTAAACATTGTATTCTTTATTACGCTTATTTTAAAATAAAAATAACATTTTTGTAACTTTTAAGCTGTAAATAATTATAACTGAATTAAT